CACACACACACACACACACACACACACACACACACACACACAAAGCCCTTTGTGATGAAATCCAAGTCACCTTCCTGATTGGCAGTGGTGGAGGTGTTCAAACAAGGGAATACAATGCCGGAGTGGGGAGGGGGAGCTCTCTACCACCCTTGTGGAAAGTTTGTAACGTTAACTTTTGTTATTTCAAACCCTGATTGGTAGCAAATTAACCCACTCAACAAGGCTAAATTAAGAATTTACTTTAATATCTATAAATGTAGCAGCATTAAATAAAACTGCACTCTAAGATACATCACGTTCTCTTTACCTGCCAAATTCACTGTTCTGCTAAAAAATAAAATAAAATAAAAGGGGCCCTCGTAACCTCTTGCTTCCAGCTTACCTCGCCACCATGACCATCAAATATCCCGAATATGGACGGGTGGCTCTTGTTGGTGATGTCGGTGAGCACCTCGAAGCGATCCTCCATGTGGTCTCTCCTCCCTTGTATGGAGTACACGGCTACGTTGTTATTCTTGAACTCCCAGGTTTTGGAGAACTCTGCATCCAGGACACTGAGGCCTCCCAGCCGGTCATTCTGCATCATCTCCGCCACTTTCCCCTTCACCATCTTCACCGCATCCCGGCTGGACTTGACGATGGTTTTGACTTCGTCCGTGTGGAAGAAATAACTCCACAGCGCCAGGCTTATGCATAACAGAAACAATGTCTCCGGCCTGAGGAGAAAATAACGCATGATCCGACCCAAAAGAGACAAGAGCGTCATTGTGTCTCCTATCATCACACGCAACCAAACTGCGGTCTGTCTCTCCCCCCGTCTGCACAATTCACTCCATCCGCTCAGCGGAACTATGAAGAAATCGATTAACTACCACTGTGTCAGAAAAAGACAAGATTTAAGCATTTGTTCGGAGCTCGGTCTGCCTGCTCCGAGCGCATTTACGCACTGTGCACAGCTTGGCTGCCAGACACCCGGCCGAAAACAGAGGACAAAAGAGAGGAGGCCACCCTCATTGGTTCAACACAACGTCTTGGTCCTATCCCCGGCTCTCTAAACAGCTGCAAGAGGATTCTCCGAGTTCAGCCGATCTCCCACAACCCATTGTAAAACGACGGATTTTCTGGGTTGGACCCACCACGCTGACAGACATAGGAGTCACCAGGGGGACGAAGTGACTGCAATATGTCCTTCTTTTTCACCGCTGACCCCGTTCCTACTGTCAGATATGTGCCGATTCAGTCTCCGCATCAACAACACATTTCACATACACACACACACACACACATACACCTTCCTACTTAAGAACTGTCAAACCACCAACAGGGAGCGCGAACAATATCGGAAATCCGAATGTGTGTTTAACGAAGTAAAATAGTAGAAGAGGCAGGAGCTGCGAGCAATGCGGCCAAATCAGGTGCTTTATGTTGAAAGACCAGCGGAAACGGTTTATTCACAGCGAGAAACTTCACGTCCACTTGTTCCTCAAATGCAGTCGGCACTGACGAGACTGCGCAGCCGCAAACTCAGACCATGCGCAAGCAGAACGCTGGACGAATGGTGGTGACTGCGGAATCGGATGATGAGGTCATCTAGTGTAACACATCACAGTCATAATCTAGATAGCGGCATTTTCACTTCGTATGACTTAAAATACTGTGTGATGATGTGATGTTTTATGGGGCTGCTGACTGTTATGGAGAACATTTAACGAGGCCCAAGATAAAAATGCAGCAGAATAGAAAACAGACATAAATTAGTCCCAATACTCATGCAACAGTATTTAAAAGTAGATAAAATTATGTGGTCGTTTCAAAGCAGGCAGCTTTTGGCCCTAAACTAATGGGAGGTGATGTCTTTATGTTTTACAGCAGTGGTTGAAAAATGCCACCTCCTGGTGGCAGTTTAAGGTATAACACTCACTGCTAATTCTATAATTTACATTCTTGGAGTCAAATGATGGAGGGGGGAGGGGGGGGGGCACATAAAGTTGTAAAGGGACAATTCCAGGCAGAGAAATCATACCAATTAAAAGCTTTAAATTTGGATTAATCACTCAATTAGACCTATTGGCACCAAATGTCAGTCCAGATCTTGTGTTATTTGCATACCTCATCCTTTCCCCCCTATTTCCTCTCCTTAAGAATGCCTTCTTGACAACTACCACTGAGACTATTTCTGATCAGGCTTTGATGAACAGTAGATGGATCAACTGCAGGGCCCGATGCATGTCTCAGATCACCATTTTAACAGACTCTTGTTTAAAGTTTTTATCCCTCAAGGTTGTACAGAACGTATAGATAATAAAGCAGGATATGCTCAGTGGCGGCGGGAGCTCAGGAAGACCTCCGCTCAGTCTGACACCATCAAGTGCCTTTATTCTTTATCTTGGTTATATTTCTTCAGCAAACGGGCCTTCATCTGGGTGAAAACACGGTCCATGAACACACTGAATCTCTGCTCCCTAAGGGGTCTTCGATATGTGGTGTTCCAGAAGTAGAAAACTTCCACTCAGGGTGAGAGTGGAAAATTCCACCAGTAAATCTTCAACAATAGGAGGAGTCCTCAGTAACCTGGCAGATGCAAGAGCTCAAATTCAATCCAAGTCAGACAAAAGAAAAGACAACAGTGAAATCAACTAATGATAACATATATGCATCTTCAAAGGGACAGTTTTTAGTGGCCTGTATTTTACAAATCCAAAAAGGTTCATTTTGGTTAAGACTTCTTTGTCTAGTACCTCTCCGTACTGAAAGAATAATGTGGTTAATTCAAGCCCCTTTTAGTGTAGAAGGATTATTGTTATGAAAGTCCAGGTAGTGCTTAGCCATGGGGTAAATAATGTTACCTGTGCGTATGGCATATTCGTGTTCTGCTAACCTATACAACCATCTTTTTATTCTATCAATGTAAAAAAACACTTTGCAGCTGGGACACTGGCCTAAAGATTAAAAATGAGGTTTTAAAATTAAAATGGTTTATAGTAAACTCATTTTGTGAAGCAGAATCAACAAATGTCACACTTTGTACTACATTTAAGCAACAATTGCAATGAGCTTTAGGTTAAATACAACAATACTTTGAGAATAAACTTATATAATTTCCATATGAAAGTGCCTTAAAGTTTTTGGATATCTTAGTGTACATGTATTCCTTCCAAAGACCATCTAAAATGGGAGTGTTCTGAGTTCAGGAAGCCTTCCTTCTTAAAACAATTTGAAATATGTTAGGCCTTCAAACTGTGTTGTCTTTGGCATTTTGTGTAGATTCAACTAAAGAAATGGGAACACATTATGTGTTTTTGTGACAGGCTGCTGGTAACAAACTTTTATTATATAGACACACAACACCGGCTCATCCCTTAAGTTAGGTGCCTTTCTTATGCTTGAGCGATTCAAAGGTCAGTGTAAGGTGGCTAAAATAGTAGAGTTCAAGGACTGCACTGTAAATTAGTGTAAAAGCAGCCAATGTCCAAAGAAAAAGTTTGAAAAACCTTCAGAAAGCTGAGAGAATTATTGCTCAAGATCATTTTAAAACATTACGAGATAGTCTGGCTGCTTGGAAGCAATTTTTTTCTTTTCAGATTAAGGAGCATGCTTAAGGTAATCAGACCTAACCCCCTAGTTGTGCTTTTGTTTCAATCTTACAGCAAATTATTTCATATAAAATAACAATTTTTGTGGTGAAGTCATAAAATTTGCCAGGATGTCTACTAATGACCTCCTCCTTTTTATTTATTCATTTAATTTATTATTTTACTTTACTGGGAAAGTCCTCACTGATCAACTATTTCTAAATATCCAAATCTCTCATGAGTTCATTTCAGAAACTGAAATGACATCCAGCACAACTTTCGAGAGATGTGAAGCTCGGTTCACTGGTGCCAGGTTTCCGTGAGGTGTACTTGATTTACTGGGTTTACTTTTAGATCAAGGAGATGACTAGTTAGATTACTGGTGCCTGTTTTAGGACACTGATCCTTGTCCCACTGTATCTGGTGATCTGTTTGCTTTGAGGTGCTGCCAAATGGTGTAGTGAGTTGACAACTCTCACTTGGTACTGCACTTGGTAACTCTCATATGAAACGGTATTCATTACCAACAATGTGTATGTTTTTGTGTATAAACAGTCAGTGTATGCAGGCATGTTCTTTGACTGTGTATCTGTCTTTGTAACTTTATATTGTCTCCTGTTTCTGTACAAAGCAAGCATGTGTGTGAGCAACACCTAGGCAGGTTGCACACTCCTGGGCCCTGGATTCATATCCAATATCACAAAGACATAAACTCTTGCCTTGTACAACAATCTGCTTTAGTTCGCATCCCTCAGGAGTCATGTAATCTGTTGCTGCCAGCCCACCTGCCACCCAATAACCCCAGAGTTTTCTGTCCCTTGTTCTGTCATTGGCTTAGAGGTACATAAGCTGAAGAACCAGGGCAATAAAAGGAAGGAAGAAAAACTGCACCGACCACTTGTTCTGAGGGACGGAGTGAAGAATCAAGTGTCATCAACAGGTAAGATGCCCTCTGTGCTATTTGTCTGTGATGCAAGATAAATGATCAGCGCTTCACCCGTTTTGCCTGAATTCTTCCATTAGATTATTGTGCCCAGCCGTCAATATGCCACCCCTTCGGGCTGTTGTGCTGACCACTCTCTGCATGGCCCTCATGGCCATGCTGGCAGCTGGTGCCAGAACCACACGCTGGCCCAAACCCCAGAGCACCAAGAAGCCACCTCGAGCTGGCGCCAGCGGTGATGGAGGTGGACGATTTGGACGAACCACGACAACGACCCCATCCCCTACAAGCAGCCTGAACACTGAAGAAACAACTGACATTATGATGGATGCATATTCCCTGCCCTCTACAGATAGCACGACATACTCCATTGACACATACCCCACTGAATTTCACACTGATGCTATAGTGCCCCCTGGGAACATCCTTTCAAACTTTACCCTTGACTACAACGAATGCTTCTTCAACTTCTGTGAGTGCTGTCCACCAGAAAAAGGTCCCGTAGGGCCTATGGGAGAAAGAGGGCCAACGGGGCCACCAGGTGAGAAGGGCATTCCAGGTGAGACAGATTTTAACTTTTTTTATTGTAAGGGAAATTACAGTTTAAGTCAAAGATTTTATTCTTTTTACTCGCGTGTGTTGTCAGGGTTGCCAGGAGAGAAGGGAGAAACAGGGCCCAGAGGACCTCCCGGACCAGCAGGATTACCTGGAGCCAATGGACTCAATGGCGACATAGGTACAACGAGGCTTGACAGCAGGAGAGTTCTTGAATGTCTAAGGGTTTCTCTCTCTGTGTCTCTCTCTCCTTTTGTGCGAAACGCTGTTTTGTATAAGTACTTTTTGGATGTCATTTTCTACGCTTTATTTATCAAAACTGCTGCAGGTGAAAAAGGTGATCCAGGACCTACAGGTCTACCTGGTACCCCTGGTATGCCAGGAAAACCTGGAGAAAAGGGTGTGTAGTTTCCTGTAAGAACCTGGCTACACATGTGCAAAAGTCATGATTTATAGTTATTGTTTCTCAAAGTGCATTGAGGTACATAATAACATATTTTCATTCAAACCTTTCTTCCTAAATAAACCTAAACCCTCCACACACAGGTGATCCAGGCCCCAAAGGAGAGAAAGGTGAACGTGGCTTCCCTGGTCTAAAAGGGGACCCAGGAGAAAGAGGAGAGCCTGGCCTGAATGGGACTAAAGGCATCCCTGGCCCAGAGGGGCTGATGGGGCCCCCAGGGATTCCTGGGTCAAAGGGTCAGAAAGGTGAACAAGGGCAGCCGAGTGAGTGTTTGCCAGGTGAGAAAGGAGAGAAAGGTGATCATGGACCCCCAGGTCTAAGAGGTGAGATGGGCCCCCCAGGACTGAATGGAGCTGACGGTGCACAGGGAGAACGGGGGGAGCCAGGGCCTCCAGGAGGGAAGGGTGATACTGGACCTAGAGGCCTCCCAGGTGGGAGGGGACTGGCAGGGTTGAGGGGAGAGAAGGGGCCTAAAGGTCCTCGTGGGCCTCGGGGTCCCAAAGGACCTCCGGGTCAGAGTGCCGTTCAGGTTCGATCTGCTTTCAGTGTAGGTTTGTTCCCCAGCCGCTCCTTCCCTCCGCCAGGCCTGCCTGTGAAGTTTGATAAGGTGTTTTACAATGGGGAAGGACACTGGGACCCGGCACTCAATAAGTTCAACGTCACATACCCCGGGGTCTACCTATTCAGCTATCACATCACTGTGCGCAACCGGCCTGTGCGTGCAGCCCTGGTGGTTAATGGAATGCGGAAGCTACGGACAAGAGACTCTCTGTATGGCCAAGACATCGATCAGGCATCTAATCTCGCGCTGTTGCAGCTGAACGAAGGTGACCAGGTGTGGCTGGAGACACTGAGAGACTGGAATGGAGTTTACTCCAGCAGTGAAGATGACAGCACGTTCTCTGGCTTCTTACTTTACCCAGACATAAAGACCAAACCTACTGAGCTGACAAACCTCTGAATGCATCCTTGACTGAGCTCTGATTTGAGCCCCTCGCAGACTCTGCAACTTTCAGCCTTTTGCACTACTCTGTCATTTTAATGTGATTCAGCTAAGCACTGCTGCTCAGTATCTGCTAGCTCCCATGCTAATCAAACCAAATGCTTTACTTGCCTTGCTGTACCTGGAGACGGGTGAGGCCCAATTAATCTTCTGTATGCAACATTTCAGCTCTTTGTAACACTGCATTAAAATTGACTCTGCTTGAAACTGATGACCCTTGGGTTGTATTTACACAGAAACAGCTTATACACTCATTTAAAAGCTATTTGCCATTGCAAAGAGAAGGGAAAAGCTCAACGCCAGTGAACCATTTGTATTACTTGGACATAATTTAAATAAATGACGTATTGCATTTGTTTCCCACTAGAGGGCGCAAGGTGTTCAATTTTTGGACAGAAGCTCTGGAGATTAATACACAAAGACAGTAGGCTAGAAAAACATAATGGTCCCATAAATATTTCAGGTAAAGATTGAAAGTGATACCTCTGTCGTGATGTTATTGAAAAAACTGCACACTACGGCAACGATATACGACAAGGAGAAAAAGGCAAGTCCGGATGATTCACTGGAACGCAGAAAGTAATATGATTTAAAAACCACATTATATATACATGTATGTACACATATATAATTGATATTACACCCCCATAACGTCATACACCTTAGTCCTGAGCAGAGATGATAACCCTCTGCAGTAGATCAAGCTGCACCATAAATTATACTCTAATGCTCCCACACTGCACAATGAAAAATAGAATAGAATAGACTTTTACAAATACTATATCTCATTAGACGTTAAAGAGTCAGGACCTCTCACCAGATTATAGCCGATAATAACTCACTTACTTTTATACAGCAGCAATTCATTCTGAAGATAAATTACATTCAGTACATTCGGTATACACTCAGCCACACCGAGATGCTCTGAGACTTTTTATGTTGTGACATGTTCGTTAAATGTAGGAGGCAGGGGAGCTGCATTAGCTGGTTTTAAAGCTTTTCTTTATGCAAGGTTGTAATTAGGCACAGTCACATATTTTTCTAAGCACATATGATACACTTACACATACAACAAAATGTATAAGCAAGATGAAGTTTTAGATACTAATAATGTAACTTGTGCAACAATTTTTACAGAAATGTATCCTCAGATTAGTGATCAGTGTATCTAAGTATCAACATTTCATTGGGAGTGAGACAAATAAATGAGATTTAAATCCTTTTAATTTATAAAAACTATTAAATAAATATATTCTTCAGGGCTTTCTCCCACTTGGAGTCTTAAATAACAACAAAGCTTTAAAATTGGACATATACCTGAGAAGTGTATTTTCACTCTTCAATGCAATTTAATAAAAAAAGTACTTAGTGTGTGTATTCATTTACAAATCTGCGTAACACTTTGATTTACTCTGGAGAACATGTGTTGCCTGAGGGGGATTTATATTTCAGGTTGTACACTCAACCAAGACTGCTGCCTGTAGGAAGATAAACAGTTACTATAATCAAAAACACTGTATCATAGCAGACACAGAGGATTTCTATTTACACTGATGTCCGAATTTTAAGGCAGCATTTTTATACTCTGGTGTCTTTCATGAAAAGATTTAGGAGGCAGGTAATGTTTTTCTTTTTCAGGTCTATCATCCACACTGCAATTTAAATACAACTGTAAATACAATTGTGAAAACTTTGAAAAAAATTATGTAGTATTTATGTAGCTGATCACCAGTGATTATTCAAACAACATTTAAATACAAAAAAACAATTAAATTGTTCAGACAAAGTTAGAATTTTCAACACCAAAACTTTCCCCGCTCTTTTTTTTTTTAAATTTTCTTTTAATTTCATCCTGATCAAACACCACCAGACTTGGTTAGCAATCAAGAAACATTAATGTTTGGCCAAAATGAAGAACCTTAGAATTACTAAGAACTTTAGACCTAGTTTGGAAATCTCCTTATCCTTACCAGAGTGACATTTGAAGAACTCGAGTTAAACTGACATGTTTTTTTCTTTCTACCTAATTATAACAGTGAATTAAAGAGTAAATGACAGCTTTATAATAAGGAGTCACTGATGCTGATGCTATCAAACTTGATAAAAATAGTCTCCAGTGCAACTCCATCAAATTGGATGTGACAGAAATGAAGTACAAACAATAGCTGCTTTCGTTTAAGTAGTATTAGGCGTGCTCAGCAACAGCCTGTTCCCTGTATAGGAACCTTCAGACAGGAAGTGGTGAAGGTAGAAATATCTCTCAACTGGAAAAGCTTTATTGATTGGAAGATTGACTGGAATATTATGAATTAATTTACTTTTATGAGGAATATTGAAGGGAAACCTGTTAAAGAGGAAAGCCCAGAATAACATCTCCATCTACTGGTGAAGGATGTATATTTCTGTCAAAGTTCCACCTTATTCATGCTGCTGTTCATGTTGATGGTGGTGTGTGTGCGTTTGTTAAATGTTATTTTGCTTGTTTGTTTATAGGCCTATCTGCGGATATGTGTGCATAAGTGTGCGTGTGTGTGTGTGTTTGCATTTATGTATTTTCCTACTACTCTGTGTGAAAATATAAATAACTACCTTGGCGGTGTGTGCAGTGTAATCTGCTCCCAACAGGCTGGATTCCCACTGTGAGAAAGACAGTATATTGTTCCTGCAGCACTACAGATAACAACTCATTAGCATACTGAATCATTTGGCAGCAAGAGCCACTCTGCCACCCATCTGCACTGAGCTGATAAACACACACACACACACACACCAGCTCTCTCTCTCTCACACACACACAGATCCATGCAGTGGGCATACGCATACACACAACGCTGCTCTCACAAACACATGCACACACACCCGCAACAATCTTCCTCTCATTCGCTCTCTTTCAATCCCTGTACACTCCCTGTATCCCTCTCATTTGTGAGTCTGTGTCTTTTTGGAGAGTTAGGAACACTGGAGCAGGTAAATGTTTGGCAGGCACTAACCCAGAGAACCCCTCCGCAGAGTCCCAGCACAGCCAGAGCACAGCGCGGGAGAGGTCTCCAAACACCTGGATGTCTCTGATGCTCTCTGGAAGCAATTATAGCTTTCAGAAATGTCTAAGTGCTGATTCTTTTGTAGCAGTGGTGGCACAGTCCTCTGTGAAAACTTATGGGATATAGGGAAGAATCCTTGGGGGGAAAAAAGTGCTTAAGCTACACCTACAAAGCTAATTTTTTTTTATTAATGAACACAGGCTGGGGAGCATAACTTCAATAAGTAAAGAATTTATGGGCGGTGGAGTCTTGATCAGTGTGGCTGTTTCACAGTGTGTACAGACACAGCAGCAGACAAACGAATGCAGTGGAGGTTGTCAAAACCACTTTCACAATGGCAGGATATCCTGAAGGTCACCGAGCCATGTTAACCTCCACAGGAAGTTGTCACTTGGTGGGAGGAAGAGAGGATTCCAGCATTCATTGGAGGAGTTTCTCTGAGGAGGGCTGGCTTTAGCTATAAACCAAGCAGATATGGTGGGAAACAGCTGCGAGGAATGTCATTATAGGAATTAATCACTGAGATTATGCAACTCTTCAATATGGTGTAAAATTTGGAAAATATTTCACATAGTATGAGAAGGGCCACAAGACTACCGTATGAACTCAGCTGACTTGAAATGCACTGCAGTCGACCCACAGCGTGTTTGAGTGAGATCAAATATACAAGACTTTCCCTCTGTTTGTTTTATTCATTTTTTTAATATAAAATTCATCAATTTAACATTGGATATATTTATAGATACAGCTATAATACAACAAATATGTCATTACCAAACGTACAATGTCCCTTTACTGCAATTCATAAAATACCATAGTTACCAAAGGTACCAATATAGGCTACTAGGTCCTGCTGAAAAAGCAACAACAGTGAGCAATACATAAGTGTCTTTATCAGAAAACTGCTGGTGTTCTTATGATATTAACACTGTGTGGTGATGGTGTGCGTGTGTCTGTTTGCACGTGTGTGCGATCCAGATATTAGTCACGTTGCGGGGCCCTAAATCTGTTTATACACTCAGATTATTGGCATTTCCTTTCCTTAAGAGAACAAAAGGCACATCTCCATTAAGTGCATCATTAACTTCTAAAATGAAGACAAGTTTCAAAGGAGAGTCAGGGTTAAGGTTGGAGAAGCTGGAACTGCTGTTAAGGTTAGAATCGGCTTCCCGGATGGCTGTCACGATCTGAGACCGCTTCAGTATACGACTGCTGTGCTTAGAAGAATTTGCATTAACATTAGTTTTGCAAGATGTTTAAATTTGACATGACAATAATAGTAATGTCATATTAATTCATCTTTAATTCTGATTATTGTGTTTTTGTTTCCTTTTTCTTCAATGAATTGCACTCAAAATACTAGCGGAGAGAATCTGAAACCACACCTGTACAAAAGTGTACAAAATAAGAACAATTACATAAAGCAGTATCGTATGCATATCAACAGTAAGCTATCAGTGGTCAACACCAAGATGTGGTGACACAGCCCATCTCCGGGAAATCAGTGTAAGTCATTTTCATATACTCTTAGGTCATAGATGTGCAACTTTGTGCGTGTGTGTGTGTGTGCGCGTGTGTTTTAATGTGTCGTCTGTACATGTAAGTGTAGAATATGGCAATGAAGGGATTTATTTGTGTACCTTACTAAACTACAACTGATTTACAGTTTAAAAAAAACCCAAACAAACAAAACAAAACACTGCAACATTCATATAAAAAAGGACTGCATGAGTCATGTCGTGATTTCATTTGACCCACACTTTGTACACTGCATGTCTTGTACCTCCACAGCAATTTCAAATAGATATATTCATTCCAGGCAGTGTGATTGTTTTCTGCTGTCTGCTGACAGATTTGGTGACATTTTCTCATCACCAAAGTGTAACAGAAGTCAATTGTACCACAATTGATGTACTTATACGTTCAGTCGCTTGCTTTACTTCTTTTTTCTTTCCTTTTTTTTTTTAGTTCATCTAATTTCTCCTCCTTCTTGTCATCCTGTCTCCTAAAAGACAATTTTGCTAGTAAACCCACTGACAAACACACTATGGTACATCTTAATCCACATGACTTGAATTTGAGTCACTATTATTACATTGTGCAGTGGAAATATATATGCTATTTACAATGCATACGAATCGCATGGGTACAATTAGGGTCCACTCAGTGTTTTTATGGCCTCAGAGTGAGGCAAATTTTCCTTTGTGTCTTTAAATTAAAACACCGAACTTGTCGAGGATAAATCTCCTGGTGTGCTTGTTACTTTCGGCGCCGTGCAAGCAAGGTGGATCAATTCCAGTGGCATCATATTGTAATTAATAGTGTCATCAGTGAAACATTGATCCTCTGAATAAAACGCTTGTCGTTTGAGTGACGATTGCCTGATTATTATTAGTTTTTGTTTCTTTGCTCTTTCTTTCATATATTGGGGTGTTTCTAATGTGTAAGGATATCCAGTCTTTGGCGCTTTCAAAGCACTGAAATCCGCAGGTCTATCAAAGACATGAGACATGCAGAATTTACAAGTCTTAAATTCATCAAACTGTTCAGCGTGGAGACGAGAACACGCTCGTCGTCCATTTTGGACAGCACTATCTCAATATGCGGAGCTTAATTCTCCTTTCTACACTGATGACTCAAAAATTACAGGGTCTGAGTGTGTCCGCCTCTTTTTTCTTTTTTTTAGTTCCTCCATTTCACTCTCAGGTGCTGTGTTGTTGTTTGTTGGCGTCAGCATCATCGGCGACTGGAGTTATCTAACGGGCGTCCATTGCGCCGCAGATCCCTAGTAGCTAGATGAAGTGGGGGTCCGCGAGATGTTGCTAGAGTCCTTGGAGCTGGAGGCGAGTCCTGGTCCTCCATGAAGCTTTCAGGACTGCCTTCAGCATCGCCATCAGGTAGGCTTCCGCAGCTGGAGCCTGGCGACATTGTCTCCAAAAGATCATCCCTGGCTAAGCCCACTACTGTGTCCTGGTGCGGTTCACCCTGAGGGCCCCCCTCGTGGGCGGCAACCCCAACCAACAGCCCTGTGTCCCCATCAGTTGTGCTGCCAACATTCCTCCCACCATCCTGATCCTCGAGGAGGTTGGAGAGGAAACTGATGTACTTCATAGCGAGCCGCAGTATCTCGTTTTTACTCAGCTTCTTGTCAGGAGGGTGGGTGGGAATGAGTTTACGAAGCTCTGCAAATGCCCCATTTACATTCTGCTGCCGCCAACGTTCACGACTGTTTGTGAAGATGCGACGTACAATCTTTGGCTGGCCAGCTAGCAGAATGGAAAGAAGGAGAAAAAGACAAGAAAAGGGCAGAGTAAGGAGACAAGGCACCAACACATTTGCAAAAAAACCAATGAAATGCAGAGCTGAAGCAGAAAATATGGTTTGTAAAACAATAAATCAACAGAAGCGCAAAAGTAAGAGTGGGAGAAGAAGCAGCAGGAGATGCACAACATTTATTTGCGAGAAAGTACAGGATGAAAATAACAAACTTCAACAAATTCTAAAGCAGTAACTTTTAAAATTGTCCTCCGCATATGGCCACAGATTTTTTTTAGCTGATGGATCAGATGTGTGCCATATGTGATACAAGTGAAATGGTTGGTGTGGCATGCCAATCTCCTTAAAGGTTGTCAGGGAGCATGTGTGCTCCCTATTTGACATTCTAAATATTTTTTATTTAGTTAGTCATAGTAAAATGCTTCACTGCAGGTAGTCACATCCTCTCACCCTTCAACAATGGTGTCTTCTAAGCTATTGTTGCCCTTGGAACACACCCAGTCTATCTTAATCCTTCAGCCCACTCTGCAGTAAAACCTTGGCATGGAGGCAGGAGCACCCCCATCCTCCACCCCTGTACATGGCAGTGAGTGGGCAGCAGTGGAAAGGATGTTTCAAATGAAATAAACCCCAAATCCGCCTGAAAAGGGTTTACTTTAATGGCATGCAGGTACATGTATTTGACATTCAGATTAGCATTTATTTAGCCCCGTGAATTATGATGCATTTATTCTTCATTGGTGAAGCCCTTTCTGAATTTTCCTTTGGCAAGGCATCTTCTGCGAGACTCAGATTAGGTACGGTATAGCTCCATGTCAGTGAATGAATGACAATGGTGATGGAGAAGGGACGTTTGGG